AAAAAAAGTAACCGCGGGGACCAGCAGTTAGTGTAATGGCTATGTCGCTGAACTCCCACGTAGTCAACCGCAGTTTGAGTTCCGAACCCAGCGACTTAAACTCACGCCGGGCATGTGTGCGTGCGTGCCCAAGATTCCGAGAGAGGAAAGGAGGAGAAGGGATTGCAGCATGGCCATCCCCCCAGGGGGGTGATTTTTCTTTCTCTTTGTCTCTCTCTGTCTTTCTGGCAAGTGCACACGCCCTATAGCAAAAACCTCTTAAAAAAAAAGAAAAAAGTAAATACTGTGGAATGAAATAAAATTAAGTGGAAAACACTAAATTTCTACCACTCTGAGAACACTTTAACATTTTGGTAATAATTCTTTCATGCATTTCTCTGTTCATTTATACTGTCCCTGTGTATAAGTTTACATTAGTAGAATATCATTAACTACTATCAGCACTACAGAGACCTTTAAAAAAAAAAATCTTCCTTCACTTATCTAATTAGTCGATTGCCGTCCTTCACCCTCCAAATCAATGTTAACAGTGTTTTGTTTATTTATAACTTTCTCCTGTTTTGAACACATATAGTTTCCTTTCTCTTTATAATTAATATTTTCAAAAAATACAATTATATTTCAAAGTTTTCCATATCTTGCTTCTCATGTTTTTTAAAAGAAATATTCTATTTAAATTTATTTATTTATTTATTTACTTATTATTTTAATTTGACCAGAGAGTAACAGAGAGAGAGAAAGTGATAAAGCAAACTACCAGGTCCGAGACATGAACCACAGTTGCCCATATGGAAGTCTAGTGCCCTTAACCACCACACCACCCACTGGCCCCTTGCTTCTCATGTTAATCTCCTTTCAAATGAACTATCATGAATCAAACTCATTCTTCTTTATTTTTTCCCAATCACTTATTTATTTTTACATTTTTCCACTTTTACTTTACATATAAAGAAATTTTTGTTGGGACCAGCAGTTAGCGTAATGGCTATGTCGCTGGACTTCCATGTAGTCAACTGCAGTTCACGTCCCAGACCCAGTGGCTTAAAACTCGCACCCGGTGTGTGTGTGTGTGCATGCCCAAGATCCTGAGAGGAGAATGGAGGAGAAGGGATTGCAGCGTGGCCATCCCCCCTGGGGAGGGGGTGATTTCTCGCTTTCTGTCTCTCTGTCTCTCTCTGTCTGTCTAGTGAGTGCATGCACTCTATAGCAAAAACCTCTCCAAAAAAAAAAAAATTTTTTTTTGTTCAAACTCCATAGTTCTTGACAGTAAATAACTTTCAAAATTGAAAAAAAATGGAATTTTAAAGATAATGTTTGAAATATTTGTTATAATTTTGTGACTCTATAACAGAAACAATATGGTTTTAAATAGTTTTGAGAAAATATTTACATGTCAACTACTCAAACTGTTCAAAAGCAAACATTCAGCATACAATTCACTCATAAGCCTCGTCAATGCAACCCTGCCTACCAAGTATTCTGTGACATACCATCTGCTAGCAAAGATCGGTTTCTTTTATTCTTTACAATGACTGCAAAACATTATAGAAAGTAGAATCTACTAGAGAGAACATTCAACACTTCTATTACTAATAAGCATTCACATGATTTTCACTTTTTGTTACTAGAGTGCTACAATACACATCCTTAAATACAGCCTTAAGCACTGGTTGACTAGTTTATGATAAACTTGTACCAAGGATTAACAAAATTTCCTAGGCTATGGTTTGAGTGAGTCAGTTTTTTTTCCTCTTCTGATGATCAAATCTCCATAGGTTTCCCGAATTCAGTCTTTTAATCAGGTTTCCCAGAATAAAACCACCCTCACCCTGAAGGTGTAAAGTGTATTCATGTTGGGTAAATTCAATTTACAAGCAAAGTGATGGGTAGTGATTAAATGTATAAAATAAAAAATAATAAAAAGAAAAAAATATTCTTATAAATCACAACTCAAATGGTGTCGACTTGCCTAACTCTTAATGCCTACAAGCTCAAATCCCAATTTCTTAGCATGCATTCCAAACCTTCTCTAGAAGAGTACTAATAAAACTTTCCAGACTCATTTCTGTTTATCTGCCGTTCTTCTCTTGCCTTATACACTTGTATCCAAGGTAAACATTTTGTCATTTCCCCAACAGCACCCTTTTGTCCTTTGCCATTGTACCTTTACACACTCTTCAAGATTCTTATTACCTAATATCATATCTTCTATCAGCACTAAAAAGACCTTTCTTGTAAAAACAATTTTCTATGAAGACTTTGCTAATGATAATAATAATAATAATAATAAACAAGACATTATCATAACCTCTTTTGTACTTTCAGGGCTCTTGTGCTTTTTTTAAAATAACATTTTATTTGGCATATTTTTTAATTTAGAGATAAGTCGCAAAGATAATACAACTGTATAGCCCTCACTCGGAATACCATAGTGTTCTCATCTTACAGTGCCATAGTATATCGGTCATCACTGAGAAACCAGCATTGGTGTGCAGCAATGAACTAAACTCTAAATATCTCATTCAAAATTCACCAGTTTTTCCACTCATGTCCCATTCTGTCTCAGGATCAATTTCAGGATATCATGTGACTATTCAATGTCTTAAGAGCCATTGTTTTATATATGCCCGGTATTTTTAGTTTCAAGCAGGAAGATGTACCTCGTTACTCTTTCTCTATCTTGAATGGATGCAAAGTCTAAAATTAATTTCAAATAAAGCAAGAAAACATGTTCTTTCTGATTTAAAAAATAATTATCCTTGGACCAGCAGTTAGCATAATGGCTATGTCGCTGGACTCCAATGTAGTCGACCCTGGTTCGTGTCCCGGACCCGATGGCTTAAAATTGACGCCGGGCGCGTGTGCGTGCATGCCCAAGATCCCAAGAGGAGAATGAAGGAGAAGGGATTGTGGCGTGGCCATCCCCCCTGGGGGGTGATTTCTCGCTTTCTATCTCTCTGTCTCTCTCTGTCTGTCTGGAGATCGCACGCGCCCTATAGCAAAAAACCTCTCCAAATAATAATAATAATAGTAGTAGTAATTATCCTCCAGCTAGCCACCAGCATGGTGGTTAAGGTGACTGGATCCCACATGGCTGACTGTGCGGTTCAAGTCTCAGACACAGCGACTTGAAAAATATGCTGAGCACATGTATGTGCATGCCCAGGATCCCAGAAGGAGGTAAAAATGGAGAAGAAAGGGTTGAGACGTGACTTACCCTCACAAGGGGTGCTTTCTCACTTCATCTCTCTCTGACAAGTGCACATACCCTCTGACAAGTAAAAGTAATGACTTAACTAATTAATTATCCCCATGCTCCAAAGGCAATTTTTTCCAAGAATAAAAGAAAAGTCTAGTTTGGTTAAAAAAATAGACTCTCTTTGGCAAAATGAGAGACACACAAACACACAGAAATTGCTTTATTTTTACTTTAGTAAAGTTGTTCTTGTGAGATTACTCAGCATAGACTGTAAACCTGATCATTATGTTAGTGGATTCCACATATACCTGCAATCCCTCACCTCACTGTTTCCTTCCTTACTTTATCTAAATGTACCAAACCTGTCATTGACCAAAACATCGTTATGCAACATGACTGTACCCAGAAGCTTTCCTCTGAGTATATGTCTCTCACTCTTGCTTTTTATTTAACATCAGAATCCTGTTTTATGTTTCCTCAGTGGCCAGGTTTTATCTGCTCTACCTAGAACCTCTAGGCAAGTTCAAATTCTGCAGAATCTTACTACAACGTATGAGGTAATTTCTCTCTAATTTATTCCTATTACCTTTATTTTGTGCAAGTATTGTGTGCTGTATTGTTTCCTGTATGCTGTTTGACTTACCCATATCTGGTAGGATCTCCTCTTTTCATAGCCACCTCTTCTCATAATTGGGTGATTTTGATTAGTCCCCCAAATAAAGCCTTATTCATTTGTGCTATTGGCTTTTTTTTTTCTTTAGAAAGAGATTTTTTGCTATAGGGTGCATGAGCTTGCCAAAGAGATAGAGAAGGGCAGGGAGACAGAAAACAAGAAATCACCCCCAGGAAGGATGGCCACGCCACAATCCCTTCTCCTCCATTCTCCTCTTCAGATTTTAGGCATGTATGCACACACGCCCGGCATGAGGTTTAAGCAGCTAGATTTGAGACTCGAACTGTGGTCAACTATGTAGGAGTCCAGCGATGTAACCATTACGCTATCTGCTAGTCTCTGCAATTGGCTTTCTAACCAATTTTATAATAGTACTTTGGAGCCCAAAATGTGTAATTACAAAGTTGCTACAGTAGCAGAAGTCAAATAGAAACTGGATTATTAAATAATGTTTCTTAATGAAGAGGTAGGCGTCAAAAACACAAGGGCAATTCATTAAAATGTTCATACCAAGGAACCATCTCCACAGAATGATTATGGTGTGAAAAGTTACAAAAATGATAATGGTAGAATATTGATGGTTCTGTATTTTTTAGTTAGTGTTCTCAGGGAATCATTCAGCAAAACCAGATTGGAGGTGTGAGCAATAAAGGAAATGCTGACAAAAGATAAAGGAAAGAGAGTTGGCAGGATGAACTGTAGTGCAGTGGTTAAGGAAACCAGATCCCACGTGACCAACCAGGTTCAAGTCCTGGTCTCAATGATTTGAGGACAGGTATACATGTGTACCCAGAATCCTGGCAAGATAGAGAAATGAAGAAAGGGGGATTGCAGTGTGGCTATCCTCATGAGGGCTAAAAAGGAGAGACCAGCAGACAGCACAACGGTTACGTCTCTGGACACCCACACGGTCAACCACAGTTTGAGTCCCAGACCCAGCAGCTTGAAACTGTGCTGGGGGAATGGGCATGCATGCCTAAAATCCTGAAAGGAGAGTGGAGGAGAAGGGACTACAGCATGGCCATTCCCCTGGGAGGTGACTTCCCTTGTTCTGTCTTTCTGGTGAGGGCATGTGCCCTATAGCAAAAATCCCTCTAAAAATAAAAAGAAGAAGGGAGGGTTGGAGATGGCAGAAGCACATTCAGACCATGATGCAGCTCTGACACCTGGCAAAAAGAGAATTTTGTGTAGAAAACTCAGACTGCAGAGCAGTTCCAATAAAGGTCAGTGGTGAACTCTTATGTCAAGGTCATCTGTGATAGGTGCCCCATATAGAGCAGTAATGGGCCTGCATAAACGTGTCCACAGAGCTTAATCACTGGCTGGCTGCAGCCTGGGGCAGTGTGGCTTCGCCTGTGCTTCTGCACAGATGAGCTCTGTGCTGCATTTTCGTGGTCACCACACTGTAATAAAGAGGAAACACCCGCAAAAGAAGCATCAGAAATTTAGAATTTTAGTTCTTGTTCTACTGCTTCCTGGGTGTATGACTTTAGGTGAGTTAGCTATGAGCCTTAATTTCTTAATCTGAATAGTGAAAATAAGAATATCTGCCAAGTCTATATCAGAGAATTATTAAATGATTAAAGGAATTGAGTATGAAGGTGCTTTGGGAAAGTACAGAAATATAGGGGAAAAGTAAATATTATTAGAAACCATCATACGAAGGCCATAATTACATTAAAGAAAAGGAAAACTGGCATGATAATAATACTAAGAATATGAGGTTTTTATTAATGTTTTTCCTAATATTTATTTATTTATTATTATTAAACTTACTATAGGGCATGTGTGCTCACCAGAGAGAGAGAGAGAGAGAGAGAGAGAGAGAGAAAGTGAGAAAGCAAGCCACCAGGTCCGAAACTCAAACCAAGGTCAGCCATTTGGAAGTCCAGTGCCTTAACCACTGTGTCACTTGCTGGCCCTTGAGATTTTTAGTAAATAAAACCAATGTTTAGTTAACTTTCTTTGCAGTCAAAATGTAATGTCTCTTTAAACATCTTACATACACATCCAGTTTTATAGTTGAGTCACAAATACATTTATTCTTTTTTTCACTGTCTTAACAAATACTTATTGAGTAGCTGGTATGTTCCAAGTCCCCTTACAGATAGAGTTACAGAAAAGACAATATAAAAAAAAAAAAAAAAAAAAAAATAAAACCTCCCTGCTGGACCAGCCCACCTGGCCAACTATGTGAAATAGAAGAGGATTGTGGTATGACCACACCCCATTGGAAGGATGCTTTCTCTCTCTTCCTTTCTCTCTACAAGTGGCACATGTCCTCTGATAAATTAAAACAAACAAACTTTCTTGCAAAAAAAAAAAAAAATGTTTACCATATATGTGGGTAAGAGCCAGTGGCCAAGAAGTACCCTTTTCATATTCCTTATAGACAAACTACAGATGTGAACATTGTAAACAGTTCTGCTTTTATTTTACCAATTTTTCCCCTCAAAACTGTAGATTGTTCTTTGGAAGCCAGTAACTGCTGAATTTATTGCAAAGAAAAATGAAGTCCATTTTTTTGTGAACGCATCTGACGTAAACAACGTGAAAGCCAATTTAAATGAGAGCAGCATCCCATTCAGGTAGGCATCACTAAATCTATATTGAGTAGCTTACCATAGTTTACACGTTTGACCAGGGATTGTATAATTGCCTCCTGAAAAAACAAAAAACACTGGGAACCAGCAGTTAGAGTAATGACTATGTCGCTGGACTCCCACGTAGTCGACCGCGGTTCGCATCCCAGACCCGGTGGCTTAAAACTCACACCGGGCGCATGTGCTTGCATGCCCAAGATCCCGAGAGGAGAATGGAGGAGAAGGGATTGCAGTGTGACCATCCCCCCTGGGGGATGATTTCTTGCTTTCTGTCTCTATGATTCTCTCTGTCTGTCTGGTGAGCGCACGTGCCCTATAGTGGGGGCCGACGTGCCCTTTAGGGAAAAAGCCCCTAAAAAAAAAAAAAAAAAAAAACTGACATTAAATATGGTGGCATGGAAATATCTGAAATGGACTTGTGAAAAGCCCAAGTGGCTAGATCTGTGATATCAACAGAGATCATGACCTTGAGCCCTTATCAGAAAAGAAGGCTATACTCAATGATCTATGAATCTAGGCTTTCTTCTGTGACCACTCCGTACCCAGACTCGGAGAGTATAATTGTCTATAATTGTCATGTACCTTGGTGGGCTTTGCAGTCTCTTCTGAAAAGTGGCTGCTGAAGGGTATTTAGCTTTTGCTGATTCTTCCTTCACAAAGTCAGTGAACATTTCTGAATGTTTGGCTCTCAACTAAAGAGCACAACAGATGCTCTGGCTGCAGAAAGACTGGGGTAGTCCTGGCACTGCCACTTAACCCCCTGTCTGACCTTGTAATTATTAACCTTTCTGTGCATCAGTTTTGTAAATGAGAAATAAAAAGAGCACCTACCATGTGGATTAAATGATTTAATTAAAAGTTTAAAGAAGTGTATCAGTTGCAATTTTTGTTCAGAAACCGGGCCCCCCTCCTTTTGGACTGTCCTATCCAACATCTCTTCATATTCACAGCCCAGCTACTGATAACCTCATACTGCCCAAGTGTCTCCATTGAGACCAGGCTGTATTCTGTGTATCAATGGGTAATCTCTGGATAATATGCCATAATAATTATTCATGTATTACAGTGTTTACTGTCCTCCAGAAACTGTGCTGAACTCTAATATACATGGTATCATTTTCCTTTTTTTTTTTTTTGGAGAGGTTTTTGCTATAGGGCGTGTGCACTTGCCAGACAGACAGAGAGAGACAGAGAGACAGAAAGTGAGAAATCACCCCCCCCAGGGGGGATGGCCATACTGCAATCCCTTCTCCTCCATTCTCCTCTCAGGATCTTGGGCACACACACACATGCGCCTGGCGTGAGTTTAAGCCACCGGGTCCGGGACTCGAACCACAGTCGATTATGTGGGAGTCCAGCGACATAGTTATTACGCTAACTGCTGGTCCCACATGGTATTATTTTATTCCTACTTCACTCTATGAGGTAGACACTAGTCTCATTAAGCAGATGAAAAAAAATTTACTTCTAAAGGAATTTCTTAATGTCAACCAGCAAGAATGTGGCAGAGCGAGGTGTTGAACAGGAACATTTCTGATGTTGAAACCCTGGCATTTATCCATTGGCCTAAATAAAAGAAACCTCTATTAATACAATACCTAACTTCAAACTGTCCATCGTAGATGATGGAATGTCTCAATTCAATTAAAACGTTTGCCTCTTGAAAGATTAAATGGGATACCTTTCTAATACCTTCATATTCCTGCACCTCTGTTTCTCAAGACATTTGAAGTTTCAGGCTCTGCAGAGGATCTGATATAGGTCGATGTAAAACAAAACAAAGGCTTTCTGCTTGTCCTTGATCTTTAAGTGAAAACAGAAAAATGCCGTTACTCAAGATCAAAGAACAATACTCATTAGATCTTCAAGATTCACAGTTGAGAAATGTTGATAGTGGTAGGAAAGTATAACCTTTTAGAAGCCCTGAAAACAAAACTCATAGGAGTTACTTTTTCTCCAGTACGATATAGTCTCTTTTGAGAGGATTTGTGAATTCAGTTTATCACAATGTGAGGTGGTGGGGTTTTTACCTTGATGAACAGCTTATTAGATTTCTTAGCCATTTCTCCCCCTTGCTCACCTATTGTGCCTGCAATGAGCCATGTGGAGCGTCAAGGCTCTGCTTGGAAACTGTCTGTTTTTTCACCTAGTGTCTTGATGAGAGATGTGAGAGACCTTATTCGACAGCAGACTTCCAATGACACGGTCAGCCCCAGAGCCTCTTCATCATATTATGAACAGTATCATTCACTAAGTGAGGTAAGCCATGTCATTGCTCTTCACAGTTATTATTTTCCTTTTTACTAGCATTGTCATTTCAACAGTGGGAAATTATCAAAGATCATGATTGGTGGATGGTTAAAAAAAAAGAGAAAAGGAAAGATGAAAGGAAAGGGAAGGAAGGAAGGGAAAGAAAAGAAAAGAAAAAAAAAGAAAAGAAAAAATAAAAGAAAAGAAAAGAAAAGAAAAGAAAAGAAAAGAAAAAAGAAAAGAAAATCACACTTAGGTTGATTATATGCTGGTAATTGATTCTTTGTAGATATCATAGATATCTTCTATGGGAAGATTGCATATCTTTGGAAGCTGCCAGCACGTAGGATGTTTATCCACAGCTAAGGATATCTTTGGCTTCTAGGAGTAGTACTGCATGCTACCAAACAACAGGAAGTAAAGAAGAGAGCCTTTTGGACCATCCTTTGTCTTAGTGATTAAGGGAGTTGGATCCCACATGGCCAATCCTGTTGTTTGTGTCTTGGATCCCACAGCCTGAAAAGTATGCCAGGCACTTCCATGTGTGTGCCCAAATCCCGAAAAGAGGGAGAAACAGAGGAGAAGGGATTGTGGTGTGACCATTCTCCCATGGAGGGTACTTTCTTGCTTTACCTCTCCTCTCTGGCACACATACATTTTGGCAATTTTTTTAAAAGGATCTTTTAATTGAAACTCCAACCAAAAAATTAATTAATTTTTCCAATTAATCATGTCTCTGGACCACTACCCTAATTTTACTCTTACTGAATAATTGCCAGATGATCCCACTGGATTAAAGAAATATATTCACTTATATTTAATACATTTTATTCCCCTTAGGAGGAGCCTATTTAAATTAACACCAGTAATAATGCCTGTGTTTCAATATTTAAGATGCTGAATTTTTTTTTATTTTGTACTTACAGGGTCCAGTTTTTCTATGTTCAGTTAACCTCGGCAAGCTTCCACAGACTACGAGAAGCATACTGTGCTATGTGTCAGAGACCAAGTCCCTTGGAGGACTTGCTCTTTTAAATGGTGTAGTCCATGTATAATATAACAGCATTATGAAGCCTCTTGTTCTTTCATGGATGTCTGCTGCTATATTGTCACTACTAGATTGTCTAATAGAAGTATTTTTATTATCTTCAGTTAGGTGCTTAGAAACTGTTGGGCACATATCCATGTTTTTTAAGACATCTAAGACTTGTGTAATAAAAATCAATTTAATTTCTAAAAGCATAAGTTCCTTTTCAGTTAGTTAAACTAGAGCTTAGTCTCAGTCTAGAATCAATGTGCCTAGCTGATTGGTGAAGGTCTTAAAATTTCATCTGCCCCTTTATCTCTCCTCCTGTGTATGTATTCCACCTGGGTGACTGCTCTCCAGCATCCATTACCAATACTGCATAAGCAAACTTGATGCAGAGAGGTTAGGAAGGTGTGATTTGCAAAGTGCAGTAGGTGAATATGTCACTGCTATTTTCAGTTTGGTAGAAAGAGGGGAATGCTTTGAACAGGTGTATTGTAAAATATATTTTTTTAGAGTCTTAATTATTTTGTTCAAAAAAGTTATGCTTCTTTTTCTTTTTTAATTAATTAACTTTATTAATTAGTTTATTTTACATTCATTCATTGAGCATCATCACAGCATACAAAATGTGATTTCTCATCCAGAATACACTGCATAGTGGCTTAATCATACCTGTTATCATTGATAATTTTCAATTTCTTGTTTCATATATATTGTATATATAGACACATGTATATGTCTATATATATATTTTTTCCCCCTATTTCTCACCCTCTGCCATTTCCCACCCTCCTCCCACACTGTCTCTGGTATCTACAGTTGCTTTCCATTCCTTTCCCCCCCACACATTTTATTTATTCACAAAATATCTTAATCTAACTACTTTGAATAGTAAGTTCAGCTGATATATACATACCTGTGAACATGTCTGCCTTTAGGTGTGAAACTCCGAGTAGAATGAATACTATAAAGTAGCACCTAGCTGATGCTATATAGCTTACTGTGGTCACTAAATAGATCTTTTTTAATATCAAAAAAGTTATGTTTTCTTATATTTGCAGAAAAAATTATAATGGCATAGGAGGAAAAAAACAACAACAACCAAATACATGACTGTATTAGTTTTATAGAGACACTATAGAAAAAAAAAAAAAAAGACTGTGTAGCTTAAACAACAGCAATTTATTTTCTCACAGTTCTGGAGGACAGAAGTCCAAGGTCAAGGTGGCAACAGGTTTGGTTTCTTCTGAGAACTCTCTCTTTGACTTGCAGATTGCTACTTTCTCACTGTGTCCCACAAGTTCTTTTCTCTGTGCATATAAATTTCTGATCTCGCCCTCTGTGTGTGTGTCCTAATCCCCTCTTCTTATAAGAACAGCAGTCAGACTGGATCAATGCCTACACTTCTTTAAAGGTTTTATTTCTAAATACAGTCACATTCTAAGGTCCTGGGGGTTAGGGCTTCAACATGGGAATGTAGAGGGTGAGGAGACAACTCAGCCATAACCATGACTTCTCTGTTCACCTCTCACCCCATCCCTCCTTGGAGGTTCATAGCAACTATGGCAATCCCATTCGCAGAAAATTTTGCCAAGTATTTCCTTTACCTTTAACAGCCCTCCTCTCAATCAGAGGAGTTCTTTTGTCACTAGCTCCCAATAGGAAAGCTTCAGTAGTCCATCATAGGGAGAAAGAAACAAATGGGGAATAATACTTAAAATAACTATTAAGAGAAAAGAGTTCTTCAAAGAATATTACCTTCATTACCCCTGGTTAAATTGTGAAAGTAAGTGAAGTTTGTTAGTAAAGCTGCTTCCATGTAACATTGCCTCTCCTGTTGTAGGAAATCTATTGACTCATTAATTCTATAACATAAATCAATTTCATGTAGTAAGTCTCTCAGATATATTTATGCCTGGAAGAATAATACAGGAAATGGAATTCCAGTGATGAAATCCCCTATGCTTAAATTTCTGACACGCCAGACAATAACAGGGTCAATTACTGGGGACAGGTGGGCCTTCCAAGAGCCTCTTAATTCTGTTTGGGAATAATCATTCACACATACTACTCTCACTGGAAAACACTACTTTAAGAGAACCAGAGTAAATGGTGTTCCAGGTCTCATTCTTGGAATTGTCATTTGAAATCATCTTTAGAAAATTTCCTAGAGATAAAGCCCAGGGTTGATTGTTAGCATTTCAAAAGGTCTTAGAGCTTAAGGATGGCCCTGGAAAGTTGGTCTATATTAAAACATCACCAAATTCAATCCTAGCAATCCCAAACTAGTCAAACACTCACCTAAAGTCAGGCTCAGAATTTATTTCCTTATTTTTTCCTTCCATTAAAATTTCGACTGAACTTCAGACTAAATTCCACCAAGGAGGAGGTCCTTGGTGGAAGAATTTTTTTCTTTTTCTCCAGATTGTCTTCATTTTTGTCTCTCATCAATACTATTTTCCTTTATCCTATGTGGAAACAGTGCCTAGGACTCCTTTAATCTTCAAAAGTAACTTAAAAATAAAGAAAGAAATGAACATTTGAATAAGTATCAAAGAGGATTTCTTGTATAGAAGCAAGGACTCGATGTCATGAGCCTTTAAAAATAGTTTCAGGAACCATACTTTAAAATGAACTTTTCTTTGTTACCAATTTTTAAATACTTTTTACTCTTTCTCTAAACCTTGACACATGCCAAAACTTTAATTAGTTTCCTGAACAGCAGGAGAAACACCCTGCCTAAGTGTTTTTCCACATACAAAGGTTTTTAGAGAAATCTCTTTCCTTTGAAGAAGTTGTCTGCTTCCTTTGGTCCGGTAAATGTTTTGAACTTGCTCTGTGACTAACCACTGGTTTCCATTTTGATAGATCTATTCTTGGATAGAAGTAATAACTGAGCGATATCCTGATATGCTTAAAAAAATCCATATTGGCTCCTCCTATGAGAAGCACCCACTGTATGTTTTAAAGGTATGTTGTGGGGAGAATCATTGATCTTTCAAATTCAGGGAAAGGGATCATTCTTCAGTGGTGGTTGTTAAAACTTAGATTTTTTTCTTTTGAGTTCTAAAAAAATTTGTATGGCAGGTATTCTTCAACTTTAATATCAGGCTATGTAAGTGTTGGATCTTAAGAACTTTCTTCTTTTAAAAAAAAAGAACCTTTCCCTTTAATAATGCCAGGCCAGCAAGTGGCGTAATGGTTAAGGCTCTGGACTCCCACATGGCTGATGACAGTTTGAGTCCCAGATCCGGTGACTTGAAACACACAGGGCACATGTGCATATATGCTCAAGATCTCGAGAGGAGAAAGGAGGAGAAGGGAGTGTGACCACCCCCCCCCACCCCTGGGAGGTGATTTCTTCTCACTTTCTCTTTCTCTGTCTCTCTGGAGAGTACACAGAGATTTCTCAATGGCAAAGATTTAATAATAATAATAATAATAATTTGGACCAGCAGATGGCATAATGGTTACGTCACTAGACTTCCACATAGTTGACTACAGTTCAAGTCCTGGAATCAGTACTTTAAAACTCACACCAGGCCTGTGTGTGTGTGTGCCCAAAATCTTGAGAAAAGAATGGAAGAAAAGGGACTACAGTATGGCCATCCCTCCTGGGGGGGCGATTTCTTGCTCTCTGGGTCTCTGTCCCTGTCTCTCCAGTGAGCACACATGCCCTATAGCAAAAATCTCTCAAATAACATAATAATAATTTTTAAAATGATACTGCTGCTGTGTTGGTCTAAGAGTTGAAACCCTAGTTCTAGAATCAACTTTGTTTCTGTTTATGAGACATTAAGTAAGCCATTTAACTTTCCTGGGCATCAGCATCACATTTATAAAATGAAGGAAGTAACCTAAATTATTTTTCAAGTCCCTGTTTTACGTACACTGCTACCACCTCAGATTGATTTAGTCAAAAGAAAGAAGGAAGAGGAAGAAGGGAGAAAAAAGAAAAGAGAGAAAAAAGGGCAAAAAAGTGGGGGGGGAAAAGGAGAGAGGGAGGAAAAGAGGAAGAGAAAAAGGAAGGAAGCAGGGAATTCATTGAACATGAAATGAACCCAAATGCCCACAAACGGATGAATGGATTGAAAAAGTGTGGCACATATGCTCCATGTACTATTATTCGGTCATAAAAAAAGGCTCTGGAATTTGATAGAAAGTGGACCAATATGCAAGATTTGTTGCTGAGTGAAGCAAGTCAGGCTATGAAAGAGAGACATTGTATGTCTCCACTTAACATATGTGACTCTCCATACATACTCTATGGTAGAGACTGAAAGACTGGAGGACATAAAAGCATTAAAAATTGTTATGGACACTAGAGACAAAGTGGAAGGAGAGAGTGGGAGGGGAAGAGTACAGGAAAGGAAATTTGGGGGAAAAATATAGAGGTAAGGTGTTTGTGGGACACAGATATAGTTGATTATCTGTTGATGATGATGTGAATAGAATTCTCAACAGGATTGAGGTATATATCATGCTAGGTAAAGTCTCTTTACAATCTAAATGATATATAGTGATTGTATGTATAAATAATAACAATTTTTAAAAAGAAAAAATAATAATTAAAAGAAGTATGAAAAATGGTTATTTTCTAACCAATTATTTTTTAGAAAGCTTTTTGCTATAGAGTGCATGTGCTCACCAGAGAGACAGAGAGGGAGACAGAAAGTGAGAAATCACCCCCTGGGGGAGATGGCCACACTGCAATCCCTTCTCCTTCATTCTCCTCTGAGGATCTGGGGCACACATGCCTGACATGATTTTCAAGCCACTGGGTCCAGGACTTGAACTGCAGTTGAGTATGTGAGAGTCCAATGATGTAACCATTATGGCATCTGCTGGTCTCTTGTAACTAATTTTTAAAAGCAAATAAATTATTATTACATTTGGAGGTGTTCTCGAGAATGCTTCTAATGACATTGAAGGCTGTCTTTGAAGAAAGGTTGAGAATTCTTTTTCCAGAGATGTAGCAGCTTGTAATAGTGCATTATGCTGTGAATCAGAGTAAGGCCTCTGTCCCTGGATGCACTGGTAATCAGGTTGTGTGCAATTAGTTATGTGTACTTCCTTTTGTGTCTATTGGGGAAATGGTCTACACCTAAAAAGTGTCCATACTGGGGAAAATGGTGAGGGAGTTTCTTTTCATGATGTATTTCCACATCCCTCATAGCAAGCTGTCCATTAAACAAACATTTATTTACCTCCAATTGGAATGTGAAGATAAGACCCAACGCACTAGTTTCTTATCTCAACTTCTGCACCTTCACATGCAGCTTTGGTATGAATATGAATTTGTGGGAAGAATAAAAGGGCCTTTAATTGAAAGTCCTGACTTCAAACCTCAGCCCCAACTCACACAAGGTTTATATCTTTAGCTTTATGACCTTGTGGTTTATGTACCTTTATGAACCTTAATCCTACTAACTTTTAGATTTTCCTCAAGAATTCTCAAAGAAAGGCAGAGATTAATGTGTATGCCATGAATATGCAGAAAAACTAAAAGTAACACATAACTGGAAACTTTTACTCTGAAACATACTGTTACTACTTTTGCTACTTTCTTGGTTTTCTTTGAGCAGGTTTCAGGAAAAGAACAAACGGCCAAACCGGCCATGTGGATTGATTGTGGGGTCCATGCCAGAGAATGGATCTCTCCTGCATTCTGCTTGTGGTTCATTGGCTACGTAAGTATTCACATTTCCACATTTTAAGTCAGCATTTCTTCATATATGGCCCAAGACCACCTCTGTCAGAATCAACTGGGCTGTTTATTAAAATGGATTTTCCTAGGTCACATCCTAGAATTCTTGACTCTGAAACTCTGGGGGCAAGGCTTGAAAAGCTACAATTTTTCCAAACTTCTTTTTTTTTGAGAGAGAGATTTTCAGTGTAGGGCGCGTGCGCTCGCCAGACAGACAGAGAGAGACATAGAGACAGAAAGCGAGAAATCACCCCCCGGGGGGATGGTCACACCGCAATCCCTTCTCCTCCATTCTCCTCTCAGGATCTTGGGCACGCACGCACACGCGCCCGGCGTGAGTTTTAAGCCACCGGGTCCGGGACACAAACCACGATCGACTACGTGGGAGTCCAGCGACATAGCCATTACGCTAACTGCTGGTTCCCCATATTTTTCCAAACTTCTCAGATGTTTTTAATGCATGTTAAATTTGAGAACTATGATAGAAAGCATTTAAATCACCTAAGTTGTCAGTCTTTTCCTTTCTAAATTTCCATCTAGGGTTAATCACTGGAAAATAAATAGTGTGTGGATTGTAAAGACTGAAATAATTATCTAAGTTGGGTCTCAATTACTTTCTCTCTTTTTGTTTGAATTATCTAGACATCTTATGCCACATTCTGCCCTTGGAAATTAAATCTGAAGTACACTATTAAAGAGCAGATCGTATTTTCCCATATGTCATAATAGGGAATTTTTTTCCCCTGAAGAACAGTTTTAATATATATATGAATATGTGTGTGTGTGTGTGAGTGTGTGTGTGTAAAACAAATAGTATGTCCTGAAAGTAAAAAAATAAAAGATAATAACCATATGCTTCTATAATAAATTAAAACAGTAAAAAAATTATTATTCAAATGTTGGAAAATGTGCATATATGACTTGTACTAAGATTTACATGAAGAAACATTGTCACTGGAAAAATAATTCAAAACATGGTTAGTGTAATGTCCGTATCAACATATACACAATACTACATAGATGATAGGATGCTAAAGACTGCTATTTAATCTGTCTTAACAGATGAGGTACATCTGTCAATACTCTTTCTGCCATGCTGAGTCTTGATGAATGATCTGCCTTGCCACCTTCTTTTTCCCACTGAAACTGTAGCCTCCCTGAGCCTATTGAAAAGTTCCCGACCACCATGGGTACTACCTAAACCATGAGGATGGTTTCAATTTATCAGACCTTTCTAATCATTTGATAATCTGGAACCTTCCCCAAATTGGGTGATTTTATTTATTTTAGGTAATTTAGAAGCATCAGTTAATGGAGAGAGGAAGGTACTAAGTAAGAGAAAAAGAACACTGAACCAGAAATAGCCAGAAAGAAACTTCGATCATCTTGACTCTTTTTGTTTGTTTGTTTTTAAAGATAGATTTTCCCATAGGGTATGTGCACTCAGAGCAACAGAGATAGAAAGCAAGAAATCACCCCCAGGAGGGATGGACACACCACAATCCCTTCTCCTCCATTCTTCTCTTGGGATTTTGGGCATGCACACATACACACCTGGCATGAGATTTAAGCTGCTGGGTCCAGGACTTGAACTGTGGTCAACTATGTGGGAGTCCAGCAATGTAACCATTACACCACCTGCTGGTTCCCATCTTGACTTTTGTTTTGTTTTGTTTTTGGAGAGGCTTTTGCTATAGGGCATATGCATTCATCAGGAAGACAAAGAGAGGACAGAGAGACAGAAAGTGAGAAATCACCCCTCGGGGGGGATGGTCACACTGCAATCCCTTCTCCTCCATTCTCCTCTTGGGATCTTGGGCATGCACGCACACACACCCGGTGTGAGTTTAAGCCACCAGGTCCAGGACTTGAACTGTGGTTGACTACATGGGGGTCCAGCAACATAGCCATTATACCAACTACTGGTCCTCATCTTGACTCTTAATACACATTGGTAAAGTTGTCCCTAACGGCTGGCCATCCTAGCCTGATACCTTTTCACTCCTATTATACATCCTACCCTACCGACATAGTAAATCTCTGTAGGATCAAATTATTTATTCCAAACATTTACAAAATTGCTTGTGAGGTTCCAGAATATGGAAATACAATGGAGAATAAGATATAGCTCAAGGGATTTATAGTTAAGTATTTTGCCTCCAACCCTGTGAACCTGATTTATGTAGTCCAAATCAATAATCAGTTCACTCTTTATAAATGACATTTAAGAAACATTGCCTGCCTGAAACTAATCCAGATCATCTGATTCTAATGGTTGAAGTCACTGAAAGAGGAAACGTAAAGTATTTAACTTTAAAAATTTTGTGTGGTAGGCCAGCCCATGGCCACACAGTTAAGGGAGTCAGATCCTATATAGCCAACTATGAAGTTTAAATCCTGGCCCCAGTGGCTTGAAAAACACACCAGGCACATGTGCATGTGTGCCCAAAATCTTGACAAGAAGAAGAAATATAGGAGAAGCAATTGCAATGTGACAGTGCCCCATGAGAAGTATTTTCTCTCTCTTCCCCTCTCTGTATCTCTCTAGTAAGGGCACACTCCGTCTGCTAAAAGAAAAAAAAATGAGGATAGAGTTTAGACTTAAGAAGTAAAGTGCCCAGTGGCAAATCAAAGCCTTAGTTTTAAAGTCTCTCATGCCCTTCTACGACACAATAAGATTTTCAAAAATCTTCTGATCTTGTCTCAGCTAGGGGAAATACATTGCACTGTGGGGAACTTGAGACCAGTCATTTTTCTCTGCGCCTCCCATTTATGTTCTCTCAAGAGACCAAATTTAGATCTCCCATTTCTGCAAAAACAGAGGCATTGTACATGCCTGCATCACCACCATCAAAGCCCAGCACACAGGGTCTGCCACATCACAGAAGCCTGGTGAATATGTGTTGACCATCACATGCCACTGACTGGCTTTTCTCAGGGCTGAGCTCCCTCTGAAATTCTCCCAGAGAACTCTCATTTGTGCACAAAATCAGCACTCTCCAATATTACGGTCTTCACAGATTTCTCTCCGCCTCTCCTCACCTTAGCTGACACCTGACTTAAATATACTGCTTCCCAGTAGCTCTGTCAAGCAGAGAGACTGCTCTTTATTTCACACCAGGATGTTCTTAGAACATAGGAATGGATGAGCATTCTCCTGTCCTAATACTGCTAGTGTTTTTCCTGTTCTCAGAAACTTGCCTACTCTGGTGGCACTCTTTCCTTTTCTTATTGTGGTCACATACTGGCCTTTGGATAATTCCATGGACTCTAGTTCAGGGTTCTTTATTCCTCTCCAACTCTTGCCATCATTCTGAGAGAATTCTAAGTCCATAAGCAAGAGCCACCTAACTACATATCACAGTTCTTTGGTTCCTGCTGTACTAAACCTCACCTCAGCTCCACTTTAGCAAATCACCCATCACCTGGATCTCAGAAATAACGTTCTCCCTGATCCTTAGATCCAAACTATGGTGTCTGTCTGTCTGTCTGTCTGTCTCTCTCTGTCTCTGGTGAGCACATGTACTCGATGGCAAAACCTCTATATAAAAAAGAAGAATTTATTCACCTAATGTGAAACCATAACCATAAGTATATTGACATAATACTGTGAGAATGCATTGGAAAACACACACTTGGAGAGTGCCATGATCCATAGGTTACAAATTAGTAGTAAAGAATTATTAGAGTCATGAACAGATCCAACATGGCTGAAAATGATCATTTTAAAAATCTGTGTTTAACCACAGTTGTTAGTACTAAGTTAGAATTATACAGTTAACAGCATTTTAGAATTTACATTACCTCAGTGGCATGATTAGATATCCAAACTGTAGGCATTTGAAGTAAAAATAACTGGGTAAAAGTCAACTTTGAAATTATCTTAGTAAGTAAATAACATTATTTACAGTTAATTAAGAGCATTTTTTAGATTTTTCTGTATCTATATAATCTGTCTCTTAATCTCTACAGTGCCTCAAAAGAAACATAGGTTTGACCAATCATGAGGTAGACCCTGATTTATGGAGCTGGCTCCATAGCACAGTAATTATGAGTTGCTGGTGAGAAGCCAGAGCCCACATGGTGACCACGATTCAAATCCCTGGCCTGGTTTACTGAAACATCAAGCATGCACATGAATGCCACCAAGGAGCTAGAGGATTGAGAGAAGCAAATGGTGGTATTCCAGACCCTGTCCTACAGTCTGTGTGGGACACACAGAGACAGAGATAGAGAGAGAAGACAGTGAGCATGGCTTTCCTGGTTCTTGCTGAACCTGCCTCTAGTCCATTCTCATCCAAGTTCCATGGCATTCCAATTAAAATTCTTTGCCATGGATAACCACTTATGAGAGAAAGGGAAAAAAAAGAAAACAGAACTTTATCTAGGCTTTTTATTTCCTTCAATCTTTGTAGTGGGCTTTATGGTTTTAGCAAAAGATCATTTTTGTTTCTTGAAGGAAAGTTTGGAAAACATATGGTTCTATTATACTGTCTGCCTCAATTAAATAGGAAAACCATTTACACAAAGTGCAAAGCATTTACTTGGTAGCAGAACACCCTAAGTTCTGGGTTTTTTTTTTTAACGTTATTTATTTATTTTTACATTTCCCCACAAACATTTACTTTACATACCAAAAAGTTCAGTTCTTTTTTAAAAATGGATATTCTTCCTGAAAGTTAAATCTACAAATCTAAACATGAAAATAACTTTTTTACTTATTTGCTTATTCATTCATTTATTCATTCATTTTTTTAAAGTATTTTTTTCAATTACCAGAGAGTCCATGTGCTCACCAGATAGAGAGAACTCCCAGTGAAGCATGATCACATGACAATCCTTTTTCCTCCATTTTCCCTTTCCACTAGGATTTAGGCATGTATACACACATGCTCAGTAGGTATTTCAAGTTTCTGGGGCTGAGATTCAAACCACAGTAGGCCACATGAGATTCATCTCCTAGTATACAGGGTTTGACTATTGCACTACAGACCTGGGCCCAAAATAACTTTTTAAAAAGAAAAGAAAAACACAAGAGAAATAGTTAGACTAAATTTAGAAGGACTTAAAATGAAATATTATTATGCATATTTGATTTAATTTGCAGGTAACTCAATACTATGGGAAAGAAAAACTATATACCAATCTTCTGAGGCACATGGATTTCTATGTTATGCCAGTGGTTAATGTGGATGGTTATGACTACACATGGAAAAAGGTAGGTAGGTAAAAAAAGCTAATAAGACACCCTTCCGGAATATGAGACATACAGGCTGAATTACTCATGGAATCCTGGTTTCTAAAACAATGTTTTTTTTATTTTATTTTATTTATTTTTAAGGTTATATTATAAAAACTTTAAAAGAATTTTATTTTTAAACATTTGTAAAAATGTCCTTGACATCTTCTAAAACTTGACAACTGGATTACAGAGGCCTAATCAAGTTCAAGTTTTTGACATTTTTTTGCCAAGACTACTGCGTTGCAAATAATGTGTTCTTCTATTGGGAAGAAAATATCTGGTTATATCTCCTTTTGTAACATTAGCTACTGTTGATAAGCAATACCTAGATCCATTTATTCTCACTAGAAATGGTTTGAATAGTGTTTTGATTTGTAAAATCATGAATTGTAAGAGTTAGAACTGCATTCTAATTGAACTTGTATTCCAACAAAACTGCATCCTAACTGAACAGTCATACCCTCAAACACAATCATGAGCATGAGTATCGCGATCAATTTTGCCTATGTTGAAAATCATTATAAATAGTATTTCTGTCTGTCAGCATCATGACTCATTACTCAAGCAATCAGGAAAGACTGTTCTTTCTAATTTAACAAGGGGCACTTAAAAGCATAACAGCGTAAATCTGCAAAAATCTATTTAAGTAGCAGATATAAATTCTAAAAGTCCTGAATGACAATAGTTGGAGTGGCTGGAAACACATGGATTATATGGGAATTATTTCATGTAGGAGGTAATTCAAGTAGATGAGACAGAAATAGTGAAGGAAATTGATGAAAACATCATCTCTAGTGAAAGAAATACTGTGACTCCAAAGTTTATAGGTGGAGGTAGGCAAATACTAAGTGAATGAGAACTACCTGGTATAATGCCTAACACAAGGTTTCACTACAAGAAATTCAACCTGAATCACAGTGAAATTTAGTCAGATTTTATGTTTTTATTTGTTTGTTTGTTTTGTTTTTGAGAGATATTTTTGCTACAGGGCACATGCACTCAGAGAAAGAGAAAAATCACCCCCCAGGGAAGATGGCCATACCACAATCTCTTCCCCTCCATTCTCCTCTTGGGATTTTGAGCATGCATGCACACCTGGCATGGGTTTCAAGCTAATGGGTCTGGGACTTGAACAGTGGTTGGTCATGTGGGAGTCCAGCGCCTCAACCACTACACCACGTGCTGGGCCCTTCAATCACTGCTTAGATATTCCTATTCTCCACTTGTCCTTTATATCATTACTTTACCAGTTAGTCTCTGCAGTTTGAGGACCTGATGTTTCTTGAGTGATTGTTGCTACCAAATCACATGCCTGGAAGTGGGAGCATACTGAAGAGTAGGCAAAGAACAAGTGAGAGCAGAGGAAAAAGATGCCACATCATCCCAGTCTCGAGACTTGAATTAAGTCTGTCTACTACTCACTGGAGACACAGAGAGAGACAGAGAAATAGAAATTGAGAAATTGTCCCCCAGGGGGATGGCCATGCCGCAATCCCTTCTCCTCCCTCCTCCTCTTGGGATTTTGGGCACGCACACACATGCACCCAGCATGAGTTTCAAGGTGCCAAGTCTAGAACTCAAGTCAACTATGTGGAAATCCAGTGCCTTAACCACTAATCACCTGCTAGCCCCTTGCTTCATGTTTAAAAAACAGGATCAAATCAGTACATCAAAGGAGCCAACAAGCTAAATGTGTATTCACTTCTCTACCTTCTCTAGCTTTTAAAGGAGAGTGCTGAGTTTGATCTAAAAAGAGCATTGAAATTCATGACTCATAGTTTTCAGTTGAGATGCAAAGTTGTTCTACATTTTTCCTAAGGAGTTCAAAATTGACCCTATGCATAAAATTAATTTAAAGGAGACAAGACTACATAAGTAGGCCAATAAACACCCTATTTGTGAGGTCAAAATTGATCAGTATTAACATTTTATTTGGTTCAGTTAATACAGTTGGAGAAAGCATGCTTGAGACCTGGATACAAATAGGAGATAGAAATAGAAAGCAACGCTACGATGACAGTGATAGGATGAAGTGATGGAAGGTATGGGGTCAAAGTAGAAAAACCCAACTCCAATGCCCCACCCACCAGGACTATAAATTCATGTCTTTCTTCAAGCTGCAAATGTGGCTACCCTGGATATCTATTCACATGTTGTTTATTTAGAATCGAATGTGGAGAAAGAACCGTTCCTCTCATGGGAATAACCGTTGCATTGGAACAGACCTGAATAGAAACTTTGCTTCCAAACACTGGTGTGGTAAGTTGTTTGCTTTATTCCTAGTGATGCCTACTCATTAAAAGGATGATGTTGGCCAGAAGGTGGCGTGGTGGTTAAGGTGGTTGGATTCCCACGTGGCTGACTGTGGTTCAAGTCTAGGACCTGGTGGCTTGAAACTTACTTCAGCTCACTTCAGGTATATGTGTGTACACATCCAAAATCTCAAGAGGAGAATAGAAGAGAAGGGATTGTGCTTTAGCTATTCCCCCTGGGGGTGATTTCTCATTTGCCCTCTCTCTGTCTCTCTCTTTTCTGGTAAGCACACATGCCCTATGGCAAAAAGCTAAAAAAAAAATGATGCTCATAGAGAAAAATCCATAATTCAAACTAATTACAGGAGAATTAGAGAATAATTTAAATAATAAGTATGTTAGGGAGATGTAATGCTGTGGATGTTGACTAGAGTCAGCAAATCACTTTAATCTCTTCTCTCTGATACTGTTTCATCCTTATAATAGGGAGATTGAACCAGTTCTTCAAAATCCCTTCTAGCTGTGAAATTCTAAAATTCTATTAGCCTTGAATAATAATGAAGTGACTGCTAAAATCCTACTATAATAAACAAATAATATTTATCATTGGAATATCAAAGACTGGGGTAAGGGGGGACCTCTTGTTTTCAATTACATGGGCAAATGTTTACTGCTGTAGTGTTTGGAAACATTTTTTTCTTTTGTTTTCAGCTTCTTTGCAAGTACTATCTTTAATGAATAATATAAGGAAAATATAAAAATAATATGAACATAAGCATAGTGGGTACTTACCATTTTCGAGTGAATTAAGGTACTGAGTATTGATATAGGCATTCAAGAATGTTGTTCTCAGGGAGGTAGGTGCTAGCTCACCCCTCTTCCTGACCCCAACATCATGAGGAGATCTTCAGAAAGTGCATGGAAAATGCTGATTATGAAACAATGATGCATGAATTCAAAAGCTCTTTGCACAAAAATAAGCTCATACTTCATTTCACTTTTCCATACACTTTTTGAAGTTCAGCCATATTTTACAGTCCCATATTTGAGGAGGAACAACTGCAAAACAAAAATAAACCGAACAATGAGCTTGCATCATCTGTATTTCTGTAAGTGGGCACATGTGGCTCTCTATACAGAGGAGGAAAGCGATTATACCTAGAGAGACCCTCATCCTTATACCATTTACCATTGCCCTACATGATCCTATGCACATCTTACACATTTTCTTTTAAAAGTAGTTAAAAATTCACGACCTTGAACATTTCATCCTTATGTCAGCATACAGATGAATTCTTTACAACAAAGTTCTTACTTTACTTCCATCCCCCTCTAGGTTAGAAATTCTGTGAGGGCAAAACCATCACCTATTACCTCATGTAGAGCCTGGCACATGGATGTTTCTCATAAAACAGTAACTAGATGAATCCATGAGGGAATTTAGTTGTTCTAACAGCTTCGGATGTAGTACAAATACAGAGGAAGGAGCAGCTAATCCTGACTGAAGCTCCAGAGAATCACTTAGTGGTTTCTCTCTAACAGCCATCCTAAGATTGTCTAATATCAGGGCCCACCAAAGCTCACAGGATGCTATAGCACTGATAACCAGTCAGTGAGTCAGAGAAGCAGCAGCTCTGAATAAAAAAGACCAACAGTTACTTAGTACTGAGCCATTTACATATCTCATCTCCTAGACTTCATTGTCAACATATCATGGATAGAGAAACCCAGACTTTAAAAGGTTAAGTCTCTTGCTAAGGACATGGGATTGGGATATGAACCCAGGTTGACTGACTACAAATTTACTGAAATTCTTCTGAAGATCACTATAGAAAATCTTTTACTTTTTTTTTCTTTGCCAATAACAGCATAGTGTTTTTAAAAATTATTTGTTGTTGTGATAAAATGTATATACCTTAGGCCAGATAGGTGGTGTGGTTGTTGAGGCAGCTGGGTCCCATATGGGCCACTGCATGGTTCTAGTCCTGGATCTGACAGTTTGAAAAATCACTCTGGGCATGTGTGCTTGGATGCTCAAAATCCCAAGAGGAGAATGGAGAAGGAATTGTGGTGTGGTCATCTCTCTTGCAGGGTGCTGTCTCACTTTCCCTCTCTCTCTGTCTCTCTGTTAAACACATACAAGCTATAGTAAATTTAAAAAACAAAATGTATATAACACAAATTTTGCCATTTTAATTGTGCAATTCCATGGCAATTATTACACTTACAATGTTGTACAACCATTGCTACAGTGTATTTCCAAAACCCTTTTTCATCCTAAGCAAAATCTCTGCAGTCATCTAACAGTATGTCTTCATTCCCCCCTTTCCCCTCAGCCCTTGGTAATTTCTAACCTACTTCCTGTCTCTATGAGTTTTACCATTCTAGATAATTTATAGTGTTCTTAACCATGTGTCTAAAGGAATGCTTGAGCTTGAAGGAACCAGGTAACCCAAATGCCTCATGAGGCTCAGAGGAACATGGCAGCTTGCTGCAATGGTTTGAATGTCCTCGACAAGTTTGATACTGAAAGTTAATCTCTAGCACAATAATAGTATTAAGACGTGAGGACTTTAAGAGTGATTAGGTCATGAGGGCTCTACCCTCACGCATAGATTAATCCACTCATGGATTAACAGATTAATAAATTTTTTAGGGAATAAATTCATTATTAGAAGAGTCGACTGGGGGGACCAGCAATTAGCGTAATGGCTATGTCGCTGAACTCCCATGTAGTCGACCACAGTTCAAGTCCTAGACCCAATGGCTTAAACTCACACCAGGCACGTGTGCATGTGTGCCCAAGATCCTGAGAGGAGAATGGAGGAGAAGGGATTGTGACGTGGCCATCCCTCCTGGGGGGTGATTTATCACTTTCTGTCTCTCTGTCTGGAAAGCAAAAACCTCTCCAAAACAAAAGACGAAGAAGAAGAAGAGTCAACTAGGGACCAGCAATTGGCATAATGGCTATGTTGCTGGACTCCCATGTAGTCAACTGCGGTTCAAGTCCCGGACCCAGTGGCTTAAACTCACACTGGGCATGTGTGTGTGCGTGTCCAAGATCCTGAAAGGAGAATGGAAGAGATGGGATTGGGGCGTGGCCATCCCCCCAGAGGGTGACTTCTCCCTTTCTCTCTGTCTCTGTCTTTCTGGCGAGCGCATGTGCTCTATAGCAAAAACCTCTCCAAAAAAAAAAGAGAGTCATTTGTTATTAAAAAAAAAAAAGGTTCAATCCTCTTGTTCAATCATGCTCTCTCTCCATTTTACACACTTGCTCCTGACTTCTGTCCTTCTGCCATGGGAAGACCCTTGCTAGATGCCAATGCCACCATCTTGGACTTCCCAGCCTCCAGAACTGTAAGCTAAACAAATCTCTTTTCTTTATAAATTACCCAGTTTGTAGCATCCTGTATAACAGCAGAAAACAAACTAAGACACTTGCCCAAATAAACATAGCTGCTTAATAACAATGCAGTCTCAAACTCAAGTGTCATGACTTCTCAAGGCTCTTTTCATTAAAATTATTGAAAATTTTTAAAAGAATTATTTCATTTAAATTTATTTATTTTATTTATTTATTTTAATTTGACCAGAGAGGGACAGAGGGAGAGAGAAAGAGAGAGAGGGAAAGTGAGA